AGATACCCATAGATGAACACAGAGACCCATAGACCCAGATAAACACCTCTAGAGACCCATAGCTTCACCTACACAGACACCGCGAGACTCATACAGAGAACCACAGACTCATACAGACCCACAGACTCATACAGATACCCACAGACTCACACAGAGACCCACAGACTCACACAGAGACCACACACTCACACAGAGACCCACAGACTCATACAGAGACCCACAGACTCACACAGAGACTCTCAGACTCAAGCAGAGACCCACAGACTCAGGCAGAGACAAACGGACACACACGGGGATCCACAGACTCACACAGAGGTTCATATACTTACACAGAGATCCACAGGCTAATATTACACACACAGAAAGACACAGACTCACCACACAGAGACCCACAGACTCACACAGAGAACCACAAACTCCCTCATACATCCAGACTCACACAGAGACCCAGAGACTCACGCAGAGATCCATAGATTCACACAAAGACCCACAGACTCACCACACAGAGACCCACAGACTCACCACATAGAGACCCATAGACTCACCACACAGAGACCCATAGACTCACCACACAGAGACCCACAGACTCACCACACAGAGACCCACAGACTCACCACACAGAGACCCACAGACTCACCACACAGAGACCCACAGACTCACCACACAGAGACCCACAGACTCACCACACAGAGACCTATAGACTCACCACACAGAGACTCACATACTCACCACACAGAGACCCATAGACTCAATACACAGAGATCCACAGACTCACCACACAGAGACCCATAGACTCACCACACAGTGCCCCACAGATTCACCACACAGAGACCCACAGACTCACCACACAGAGACCCACAGACTCACCACACAGAAACCCACAGACTCACCACACAGAGACCTATAGACTCACCACACAGAGATCCACAGACTCACCACACAGAGACCCATAGACTCACCACACAGAGCCCCACAGACTCACCACACAGAGACCTATAGACTCACCACACAGAGACCCACAGACTCACCACACAGAGACCCACATACTCACCACACAGAGACCCACATACTCACCACACAAAGACTCACAGACTCACCACACAGAGACCCACATACTCACCTCACAGAGACCCACATACTCACCACACAGAGACCCACAGACTCACCACACAGAGACCCACAGAATCACTCACACAGAGACCCATAAACTCACTCACACAGAGACCCACAGACTCACCACACAGAGACCCACAAACTCACTACACAGAGACCCACAGACTCACCACACAGAGACCTATAGACTCACCACACAGAGACCACACAGAGACCTATAGACTCACCACACAGAGACCCACAGACTCACCACACAGAGACCTATAGACTCACCACACAGAGACCCACATACTCACCACACAGAGACCCATAGACTCACCACACAGAGATCCACAGACTCACCACACAGAGACCCATAGACTCACCACACAGAGACCCATAGGCTCACCACACCGATACCCACAGATTCTCTATGTGTCGCTCTGTGTTTCTCTGTGTTTGTCTCTCTCTCTGTGTCTCTCTGTCTGTCTCTCTCTGTGTGTTTCTGTGTGTGTGTCTCTCTCTGTGTGTCTCTCTTTCTGTGTATCTCTGTGTGTGTGTGTCTGTGTGTGTGTCTCTCTGTGTCTCTGTGGGTGTCTCTCTCTGTGTGTCTGTTTGTGTCTCTCTCTCTGTGTATCTGTGTCTGTGTCTCTCTCTGTGTGTCTCTGTGTGTGTCTCTCTCTGTATGTCTCTCTCTGTGTGTCTCTCTGTGTGTGTCTCTCTCTGTGGGTCTCTGTGTGTTTCTGTGTGTCTCTCTCTCTGTGTGTCTGTGTGTGTGTGTCTCTGTGTTTCTCTGTGTGTGTCTCTCTGTGTGTCTCTGTGTGTCTCTCTGTGTGTCTCTGTGTGTCTCTCTCTGTGTCTCTGTGTGTGTGTCTCTGTCTCTCTCTGTGTGTCTCTGTGTGTGTCTCTCTCTCTGTGTCTCTGTGTGTGTATCTCTCTGTGTGTCTCTCTCTGTGTGTCTCTGTGTGTGTCTCTGTGTGTCTCTCTCTCTGTGTGTCTCTCTCTGTGTCTGTGTGTGTGTGTCTCTCTCTGTGTCTCTCTGTCTGTCTCTCTCTGTGTGTCTCTGTGAGTCTCTCTTTGTGTGTCTCTGTGTGTCTCCCTTTGTGTGTCTGTCTGTGTGTCTTTGTGTGTCTCTTTCTGTGTCTCTGTGTGTCTCTCTCTGTGTGTCTCTTTGTGTGTCTCTCTCTGTGTCTCTGTGTCTGTGTGTGTCTCTCTCTGTGTGTGTCTCTGTGTGTCTCTCTCTGTGTGTCTCTGTGTGTGTGTCTCTCTCTCTGTGTGTGTCTCTGTGTGTCTCTCTCTGTGTGTCTCTGTCTGTGTGTGTCTCTGTGTATGTCTCTGTGTGTGTCTCTGTGTGTCTCTCTCTGTGTATGTCTCTGTGTGTCTCTCTCTGTGTGTCTCTGTCTGTGTGTGTCTCTGTGAGTCTCTCTGTGTGTGTCTCTGTGTGTTTCTGTCTGTGTGTCTCTGTGTGTGTGTCTCTCTCTCTGTCTGTGTCTCTGTGTGTCTCTCTCTGTGTGTCTCTGTCTGTGTGTGTCTCTGTTTATGTCTCTGTGTGTGTCTCTGTGTGTGTGTCTCTCTCTGTGTGTGTCTCTGTGTGTCTCTCTCTGTGTGTCTATGTGTGTGTGTCTCTCTCTGTGTGTGTCTCTGTGTGTCTCTCTCTGTGTGTCTGTCTGTGTGTCTCCGTGTCTGTGTTTTGTCTCTCAAATCTAGCAATCCTTGGAAGAACGTAATCAACCAGGTGGGGTGTTGACTATTGTGTTGGCCGACTCTCTCTCTCTGTGTGCTGTATCGCATTATATTTCTAAGATTGTTTTCTCATTCATTCGTACCTGATTATGGTTGCTTGTGTTGCAATCGAAACGTCGACTTGTTGCCAAAAAAAGGGGAAAAACCGATTCTCATATTCTCCACGGGTTTGATTTGCTCGCCCCTCTCCCCACCCTCCCCCCACTCTCCCCCCACTCTCCCCCCACCACCATCCCCCCACCCTCCCTCCACTCTCCCCCCCCACCCTCCCCACCACTCTCCCTCCCCCACTCTCACCCCCTACTTTCCCACCACTCTCTCTCCCCCCACTACTCTCACCCTCCACTCTATCCCCCCACCACTCTCACCCCCCACCAATCTCACCCCCCACCACTCTCTCCCCCCACCATTCTCACCCCCCACCACTCCCTCCCCCCACCACTCTCACCCCCCACCACTCCCTCCCCCCACTCTCACCCCCACTACTCTCACCCCCACCACTCTCACCCCCCCACCACTCTCACCCCCACCCTCTCCCCGACCCACCCTCTCCTCCACCTTCCCCCCACTCCCCCCACCCTCCCCCCCACCCTCCCCACCCTCCCCCCCACCCTCCTCCCCACTCCCCCCACCCTCCCCCCCACTCTCTCCCCCCTCCACCCGCGACGTCTCCGCCTCTCTCAGTCGCCCTCGCAGCGGCGAGGGAGCGGACGGGGCACGAGGATGGGAGATTAGACTCAAATCATCATCAGCAGCAGCATCATCATCATCAGCAGCAGCAGCATCATCAGCAGCAGCAGCAGCACCATCATCATCAGCAGCAGCAGCAGCATCATCATCAGCGTCATCATCAGCAGCAGAAGCAGCATCATCAGCAGCAGCATCATCATCAGCAGCAGCATCAGCAGCAGCAGCAGCATCAGCAGCAGCATCATCATCAGCAGCAGCAGCAGCATCATCATCAGCAGCAGCAGCATCATCATCAGCATCATCGTCATCATCAGCAGCAGAAGCAGCAGCATCATCAGCAGCAGCAGCATCATTATCAGCAGCAGCATCAGCAGCAGCATCATTATCAGCAGGAGCATCATCAGCAGCAGCATCATCATCAGCAGCAGCATCATCATCAGCAGCAGCATCATCAGCAGCAGCAGCAGCATCATCAACAGCAGCAGCATCATCGTCATCACCATCAGCAGCAGCAGCAGCAGCATCAACAATAGCAAACATCATCAACATCATCAGCAGCAGCAGCATCATCATCAGCAGCAGTAGCAGCAGTATCAGCAGCATCATCAGTAGCAGCAGCAGCATCATCAGCACAATCATAAATATCAGCATCATCAGCATCATCATCAGCAGCAGCAAAAGTGCACTCATCACTGATTCGAGTGGTTGGTTGTGTACGGTGTGAACGAAGTTCAACGTGCGCTGATCACGATCATCATCATCAGATTTGGAATCATCAACATCATCAACATCATCATCAGTGATCGATACACCATCATCACCATCATCGCCAGCACCATCGTCATCAGCATAATCATCAACATCATCATCATCAACATCCGCTATTGACACATCATCAACATCACCATCATCACCATCAACATCCGCGATTGACACATCACCACCATCATCATCATCAGCACCATTATCATCATTACCATCATCACCACCATCAACATCAGCATTGACACATCATCAGCAGCAGCACCATCATCACCATCAACATCCGCGATTGACACATCACCACAATCATCATCAGCACCATTATCATCATTACCATCATCACCACCATCAACATCAGTCATTGACACATCATCATCAGCACCACCACCATCATCACCATCAACATCCGCGATTGACACATCACCACCATCATCATCATCAGCACCATAATCATCATTACCATCATCACCGCCATCAACATCAGTGATTGACACATCACCACCATCATCATCATCAGCACCATTATCATCATTACCATCATCACCGCCATCAACATCAGTCATTGACACATCATCATCAGCAGCACCACCATCACCGCCATCAACATCAGTCATTGACACATCACCATCACCACCATCACCACCCCCATCACCACCATCAACATCAGCGATTGACACATCACCACCATCATCATCATTACCATCGTCACCGCCATCAACATCAGTTATTGACACATCATCAGCAGCGGCACCACCATCATCACCACCATCAGTCATTGACACATCACCATCACCACCACCACCATCACCACCACCATCACCACCACCATCACCACCATCAGCATGCGCGGTGTGGACACGCCGATTATCCCGGCAGGTTTCCGAACTCAGAGCTCCGCTCCTCCTGGAGTTAGAAAGGCGAGCAAGCGGTGAGGGCTACCTCCGCATGTGAGTGGTGAGTCTGTGGGTCTCTGTGTGGTGAGTCTGTGGGTCTCTGTGTGGTGAGTCTGTGGGTCTCTGTGTGGTGAGTCTGTGGGTCTCTTTGGTGAGTCTGTGGGTCTCTGTGTGGTGAGTCTGTGGGTCTCTGTGTGAGTGAGTCTGTGGGTCTCTGTGGTTAGTCTGTGGGTCTCTGTGTGGTGAGTCTGTGGGTCTCTTTGGTGAGTCTGTGGGTCTCTGTGTGGTGAGTCTGTGGGTCTCTTTGGTGAGTCTGTGGGTCTCTGTGTGGTGAGTCTGTGGGTCTCTTTGGTGAGTCTGTGGGTCTCTGTGTGAGTGAGTCTGTGGGTCTCTGTGTCGTGAGTCTGTGGGTCTCTTTGGTGAGTCTGTGGGTCTCTTTGGTGAGTCTGTGGGTCTCTTTGGTGAGTCTGTGGGTCTCTGTGGTGAGTCTGTGGGTCTCTGTGTGGTGAGTCTGTGGGTCTCTTTGGTGAGTCTGTGGGTCTCTGTGTGAGTAAGTCTGTGGGTCTCTGTGTGGTGAGTCTGTGGGTCTCTTTGGTGAGTCTGTGGGTCTCTGTGTGAGTGAGTCTGTGGGTCTCTTTGTGGTGAGTCTGTGGGTCTCTTTGGTGAGTCTGTGGGTCTCTGTGTGGTGAGTCTGTGGGTCTCTTTGGTGAGTCTGTGGGTCTCTTTGGTGAGTCTGTGGGTCTCTATGTGAGTGAGTCTGTGGGTCTCTTTGGTGAGTCTGTGGGTCTCTGTGTGGTGAGTCTGTGGGTCTCTGTGTGGTGAGTCTGTGGGTCTCTTTGGTGAGTCTGTGGGTCTCTGTGTGGTGAGTCTGTGGGTCTCTTTGGTGCTCTGTGGGTCTCTGTGTGGTGAGTCTGTGGGTCTCTTTGGTGAGTCTGTGGGTCTCTGTGTGGTGAGTCTGTGGGTCTCTTTGGTGAGTCTGTGGGTCTCTGTGTGGTGAGTCTGTGGGTCTCTTTGGTGAGTCTGTGGGTCTCTATGTGGTGTGTCTGTGGGTCTCTTTGGTGAGTCTGTGGGTCTCTGTGTGGTGAGTCTGTGGGTCTCTGTGTGGTGAGTCTGTGGGTCTCTTTGGTGAGTCTGTGGGTCTCTGTGTGGTGAGTCTGTGGGTCTCTGTGTGGTGAGTCTGTGGGTCTCTGTGTGGTGAGTCTGTGGGCCTCTTTTGGTGAGTCTGTGAGTCTCTTTGGTGAGTCTGTGGGTCTCTGTGTGGTGAGTCTGTGGGTCTCTGTGTGGTGAGTCTGTGGGTCTCTGTGTGAGTGAGTCTGTGGGTCTCTGTGTGGTGAGTCTGTGGGTCTCTGTGTGAGTGAGTCTGTGGGTCTCTGTGTCGTGAGTCTGTGGGTCTCTTTGGTGAGTCTGTGGGTCTCTTTGGTGAGTCTGTGGGTCTCTTTGGTGGTTCTGTGGGTCTCTGTGGTGAGTCTGTGGGTCTCTGTGTGGTGAGTCTGTGGGTCTCTTTGGTGAGTCTGTGGGTCTCTTTGCTGAGTCTGTGGGTCTCTGTGTGGTGAGTCTGTGGGTCTCTTTGGTGAGTCTGTGGGTCTCTGTGTGGTGAGTCTGGGGGTCTCTTTGGTGAGTCTGTGGGTCTCTTTGGTGAGTCTGTGGGTCTCTGTGTGGTGAGTCTGTGGGTCTCTTTGGTGAGTCTGTGGGTCTCTTTGGTGAGTCTGTGGGTCTCTGTGTGGTGAGTCTGTGGGTCTCTTTGGTGAGTCTGTGGGTCTCTGTGTGGTGAGTCTGGGGGTCTCTTTGGTGAGTCTGTGGGTCTCTTTGGTGAGTCTGTGGGTCTCTGTGTGGTGAGTCTGTGGGTCTCTTTGGTGAGTCTGTGGGTCTCTGTGTGGTGAGTCTGTGGGTCTCTTTGGTGAGTCTGTGGGTCTCTGTGTGAGTGAGTCTGTGGGTCTCTGTGTGGTGAGTCTGTGGGTCTCTGTGTGGTGAGTCTGTGGGTCTCTGTGTGAGTGAGTCTGTGGGTCTCTGTGTGGTGAGTCTGTGGGTCTCTGTGTGGTGAGTCTGTGGGTCTCTGTGTGGTGAGTCTGTGGGTCTCTGTGTGGTGAGTCTGTGGGTCTCTGTGTGGTGAATCTGTGGGTCTCTGTGTGGTGAGTCTGTGGGTCTCTGTGTGGGTGAGTCTGTGGGTCTCTGTGTGGTGAGTCTGTGGGTCTCTCTGTGGTGAGTCTGTGGGTCTCTGTGTGGTGAGTCTGTGGGTCTCTTTGGTGAGTCTGTGGGTCTCTGTGTGGTGAGTCTGTGGGTCTCTGTGTGAGTGAGTCTATGGGTCTCTGTGTGAGTGAGTCTGTGGGTTTCTTTGTGGTGAGTCTGTGGGTCTCTGTGTGATGAGTCTGTGGGTCTCTGTGTGAGTAAGTCTGTGGGTCACTGTGTGAGTGAGTCTGTGGGTCTCTGTGTGGTGAGACTGTGGGTTTCTGTGTGAGTGAGTCTGTGGGTCTCTGTGTGGTGAGTCTGTGGGTCTCTGTGTGGTGAGTCTGTGGGTCTCTGTGTGAGTTAGTCTGTGGGTCTCTGTGTGGTGAGTCTATGGGTCTCTGTGTGGTGAGTCTGTGGGTCTCTGTGTGGTGATTTTGTGGGTCTGTATGGTGAGTCTATGGGTCTCTGTGTGGTGAGTCTGTGGGTCTCTGTGTGGCGAGTCTGTGGGTCTCTGTGTGAGTGAGTCTGTGGGTCTCTTTGTGGTGAGTCTGTGGGTCTCTGTGTGGTGAGTATGTAGGTCTCTGTGTGGTGAGTCTTTGGGTCTCTGTGTGATGAGTCTGTGGGTCTCTGTGTGAGTAAGTCTGTGGGTCACTGTGTGAGTGAGTCTGTGGGTCTCTGTGTGGTGAGACTGTGGGTTTCTGTGTGAGTGAGTCTGTGGGTCTCTGTGTGGTGAGTCTGTGGGTCTCTGTGTGGTGAGTCTGTGGGTCTCTGTGTGAGTTAGTCTGTGGGTCTCTGTGTGGTGAGTCTATGGGCCTCTGTGTGGTGAATCTTTGGGTCTCTGTGTGGTGATTCTGTGGGTCTGTATGGTGAGTCTATGGGTCTCTGTGTGGTGAGTCTGTGGGTCTCTGTGTGGCGAGTCTGTGGGTCTCTGTGTGAGTGAGTCTGTGGGTCTCTGTGTGGTGAGTCTGTGGGTATCCGTGTGATGAATCTTTGGGTCTCTGTGTGATGAGTCTGTGGGTCTCTGTGTGGTGAGTCTGTGGGTCTCTTTGTGAGTGAGTCTGTGGGTCTCTGTGTGGTGAGTCTTTGTGTCTCTGTGTGATGAGTCTGTGGGTCTCTGTGTGGTGATTCTGTAGGCCTCTGTATGGTTAGTCTGTGGATCTGTGTGGTGAGTATGTGGTTCTCTGTGTGAGTGAGTCTATGGGTCTCTGTGTGAGTGAGTCTGTCGGTCTCTGTGTGGTGAGTCTGTGGGTCTCTCTGTGGTGAGTATGTTCGTCTCTGTGTGGTGAGTCTTTGGGTCTCTGTGTGATGAGTCTGTGGGTCTCTGTGTGGTGAGTCTGTGGGTCTCTGTGTTGTGAGTCTGTGGGTCTGTATGGTGAGTCTATGGGTCTCTGTGTGGTGAGTCTGTGGGTCTCTGTGTGGTGAGTATGTGGGTCTCTGTGTGGTGAGTCTGTGGGTCTCTGTGTGGTGAGTCTGTGGGTCTTTGTGTGGTGAGTCTGTGGGTCTCTGTGTGGTGAGCCTATGGGTCTCTATGTGGTTTGTCTGGGGGTCTCTGTTTGGTGAGTCTGTGGGTCTCTTTGTGGTGAGTCTGTGGGTCTCTGTGTGAGTGAGTCTATGGGTCTCTGTCTGAGTGAGTCTGTGGGTTTCTTTGTGGTGAGTCTGTGGGTCTCTGTGTGGTGAGTATGTAGGTCTCTGTGTGGTGAGTCTTTGGGTCTCTGTGTGATGAGTGTGTGGGTCTCTGTGTGAGTGAGTCTGTGGGTCACTGTGTGAGTGAGTCTGTGGGTCTCTGTGTGGTGAGGCTGTGGGTTTCTGTGTGAGTGAGTCTGTGGGTCTCTGTGTGGTGAGTCTGTGGGTCTCTGTGTGGTGAGTCTGTGGGTCTCTGTGTGAGTGAGTCTGTGGGTCTCTGTGTGGTGAGTCTATGGGCCTCTGTGTGGTGAATCTTTGGGTCTCTGTGTGGTGATTCTGTGGGTCTGTATGGTGAGTCTATGGGTCTCTGTGTGGTGAGTCTGTGGGTCCCTGTGTTGTGAGTCTGTGTGTCTCTGAGTGGTGAGTCTATGGGTTTCTTTGGTGAGTCTGTGGGTCTCTGTGTGGTGATTCTGTGGGTCTGTATGATGAGTCTATGGGTCTCTGTGTGGTGAGTCTGTGGGTCTCTGTGTGGCGAGTCTGTGGGTCTCTGTGTGGTGAGTCTGTGGGTCTCTGTGTGGTGAGTCTGTGGGTCTCTGTGTGGTGAGTCTGTGGGTCTCTGTGTGGTGAGTCTGTGCGTCTCTGTGTGGTGAATCTGTGGGCCTCTGTGTGGTGAGTCTGTGGGTCTCTGTGTGGTGAGTATGTGGGTCTCTGTGTGGTGAGTCTGTGGGTCTCTGTGTCGTGAGTCTGTGGGTCTCTTTGGTGAGTCTATGGGTCTCTTTGGTGAGTCTGTGGGTCTCTTTGGTGAGTCTGTGGGTCTCTGTGGTGAGTCTGTGGGTCTCTGTGTGGTGAGTCTGTGGGTCTCTTTGGTGAGTCTGTGGGTCTCTTTGGTGAGTCTGTGGGTCTCTGTGTGGTGAGTCTGTGGGTCTCTTTGGTGAGTCTGTGGGTCTCTGTGTGGTGAGTCTGTGGGTCTCTTTGGTGAGTCTGTGGGTCTCTGTGTGAGTGAGTCTGTGGGTCTCTGTGTGGTGAGTCTGTGGGTCTCTGTGTGGTGAGTCTGTGGGTCTCTGTGTGAGTGAGTCTGTGCGTCTCTGTGTGGTGAGTCTGTGGGTCTCTGTGTGGTTAGTCTGTGGGTCTATGTGTGGTGAGTCTGTGGGTCTCTGTGTGGTGAGTCTGTGGGTCTCTGTGTGGTGAGTCTGTGGGTCTCTTTGTGGTGAGTCTGTGGGTCTCTGTGTGGGTGAGTCTGTGGGTC